TTATTTTTCCTTATGAAAATAGTGTCACAGCCGTCGTCCACTTTAATTTTTAGATATGTTGTGTAACACTTTGAAAATCACATATCTCAAAATCTTCGCGGGCGATGCATGTGAAAAATATTATCTGAAAGAATATTAGATTTGAAAATTGGTGTCTTCTGCAACTTTTTAAGAAAATACCGGAAAATGCACAAGTTCATGACGTCACAATTAGCATTTAGAAGATTTTGTATGCAAAATGATTTGTATGGTCTATCTGCATGGAATATCAATGATTCAGAAAGCATGAGTTTTATTTATTAATTTTTTTTTACATCATTTTCATTTTTAAGAAAACACAGAGCAATATTTGTATTGAAGCCGTACCTTGTTCTTACTGTCACTGCAACATCTCCGGATTGAGATCGGGGGAGGGGGTATAATTCTTCAGTTTGTAAAGTTTTAATTACTGTAAACACCATGTTACTATCCACCTGTCCTTTATTATTCTTTTTTGAATACAATCATGATATTAATTAAATCACCATTGTGAATTAATATAATGTGCATTTTACCCCATCTATTATTAAGGATTTATACGAAAGCATATTATTAAACAAACATTGCAAATTAACTTTGTTCTGATATGGTGACAATGCAGAATGAACATGCTTGACAAATGCACTTGAAAAGATTTCTCAGGCATGTTTCATGTTTTTTTTCTTAATATTTTTCTTGTCTATTGAAATTTAAATAATCTGATCAAGCATGAACAAAATGTTACGAACTTCTAACATCTTTTAGTCTTTCTGCGTATATGAATATAGTGTAGAGTTTACTTGAAAGAATAAAACACGTGAAGATAACAAACATTATTCGAGCTTAAAAGTCCATTAAACATTACAAAATAGAAGCAGAACAAACACGGATCTCTAAGACATCAGAGGTGGGATCAGGTGCCATGGAGGAGTGAGCATCCCCTGCCGACCGGTCACATCCGCCGTGTGCTCCTTGTCATGATCGGGAAAAATGTCATTCTGTATTTTGATACGATTGACCGGTCGGAAAGACGTATGCTTAATCGAGTAGCGATTCTTTTGCCATCCCCAAATTTTACATATTTATGACACATAAAATAGTAAAGTTTCAAAGGTACATTTACCATAAAAACAAGTTATTAATAAGTGTATTTGGAAGAAGATATGTACATAAATGTTTGTGCATGAAATATATTTTATAAAAGAGAAGGTTTCAACATATGAATACATTGAACATCATAAGGTAAAAATATCACATTGTTTATGATTCAATTTTTGTTTCAATGCTTCAATTGTACATTTGTAATATGAAATTTTATTTCATATATAATGAGCATACCAGTTACATAAATAAAAACAAACATTAATCATAAGTTGTTTGTTTCGTATCCCATTTCTGAGGCTCCCTGTTCTATGCCCTGTTCACAGATTTGTAGTATTTGTAGATTATAGTAGATCGATCATTGTTCGTTTTCTAAACCTTTTTTTCATATACAAAATGTATTAATATATAGTAGGAAAATGAGCCAATATTTAATCTGGTATCAGGCAACTCTTTGGTATATATGAGTCTCACAAATGGCTTATTACTTAGTATATTCCTAGATATTGATTGTTAAGTTCAAAATTAAATATACATCATTCTTTCAACTGTGATACATGTATTTATGAATATCAGTGTACGTAGAATTTAAACTTAATAGATGATAAACAAATATTTAAATGGCTTCTCATTGTTTTGTGAAAATTGCAAAGCAGTTTCTAACTGTGGTTATTTTTGTGTAAACTGTGTTCTAAATTAGTATATAATTTTTGCTTTGCGTTTTTTATTATCAAACATATCCGTAGCTGCAGACAAAAGTCGGAACAGTTGGCTTACAACCTAGTGAGTCTTCACAAGTGGGCTAGGCTTGAATGGCTTCGAACATCACACATTCAGATAATAATCTTATCGCTCTGAAAATGTATGTACATATGATAAAAATCAACAGTCAGATTTTCAGAGTCAGGGTACTTGTATTAAAAATGACCATGTGATAATATTCATGAAATTCTGAAAATCAATCTCAAGCCAAACAGTTAAAAGTGTTTTTTTTTTCTGTATTTCAAAAATATTCAATTTGAAAGCTAGTTAATATGAAACTCATAAATAATGTTTAAATGTTGGCTTAATTTTCAGATGTTGATGGATTGTGTGATTTGTCGTTAAGCGAAGAAATGGCCAGTGATATTTATATCACCTACTACATCCACTTTTCGAGTTTTAGAGAGGACAACTAAATGATCTGTATCCTGAACAAACCGCAAATATCATTTAATAACAAAATAAAGATTATTTTTTTTAATCAATACATCTCAATAACAAATAAATCTCAAAATATTTAATTAATGAATATTCAACATTGAAAATATATTGAAAGAAATTTAAACAAAAAAGATGATTATATATTTAGTAATGGGACAGAACACAGTTATGGGAGCATTCAGAATTGTCACTGTTATACTCTCATTTGATACTCTTGTCAGGAGGATATTTATGTTATATTATTACAGTGAGCTTATGTCGACACGATATATCCCGGTGAGCTTGATATAAAAGATACCACAGCGTCTGACACACCTGTTTCATATTTGGATATTTTATTAGAATAAATACAATACGTAATCCAATCATTTACCCTTTCTTTATTAAAAAAATATTAAGTGAAAAAAATAATGTTTTTTACCAGTTGATAAAATTTAGTTTTGTAAACTTGAAATGGTTTCCCCTCTTTCCATACCTCAGGGACAGATACCGGGTAATAATGAGGACCTTAGATCACTAATTTTGAAAGGTCCTAAATACCCCGATCCTTCAACTGGCATAGTAATTTCATACGTATTATGGATTCTGTAGCTCTAGGATTACGCCAGGCGTTAGGTTAGACATGAAAAAGAAGACCTTGACACTTTGTCAGAATGGATCAAATGTATCAGATATATGTTAAAATCTTGCATTACACGATTGAGGGACAGTATGAAAACCATCCATCATTCTGTATTCAATAATTTAGAAGTGAAAAAAGAATTAGATGACACGATCAGTACGTACTGGTCCCTGCTGACAAAGTAGGTAACAACATTGTCTTTGTTTGTAAGGCTCATTACATAAATCGTATTTTAGAGGCACTGCGATTTAATTCTACAAGTGATAATCCATCTTATGCCCATAGCTCCCTTTCTAGGGAGGAGGAAATTCTTCAAAATCATACCGGTATGTCAGTTTTGAATATTTTTAATATTCCCAACAACCAAATTGAATTTAAATTACCATATCTATATTGGATTCTGAAACTTCATAAAAATCCTTACAAAGATACATAGCGGGTTCTAGTAAATGTTTTACCAAGCCTCTTTCTTTACTCCTCACAAAGATATTAACAGTAGTGAAGGAGAAACTTCAAGAGTACTGTGCAACAATATATTCGAGAAGTGGTGTAAATCAGATGTGGATGCTAAAAATTTTCAAGGATCTTTTGGAACATTTGAAATCACAAAATTTTACCAAAATCAAGAGCATAAAAACTTACGACGTGTCAACTTTATATAGAACTATTCCCCACGATAAATTAAAGTCCAAACTTTCTGAAATCGTTGACAGCTGCTTTTTCAAAAAAATGGAACTCGCAAATTTACTTACCTTGTCATTGGTCATTTGCAAAATTACTTTGTTAAAAAACAATCTGATTGTACACACAAGTACTCTGAAGTAGACATTAAAAAGATGCTCGAGTTTCTGATTGACAATTTCTATGTGGTTTTTTGGAGAGCATGTCTTCATACAATCTTTTGGTATTCCCACGGGTACCAATTGCGCCCCGTTATTAGCAGACCTATTTTTGTATTCATATGAAGCAGAATTTGTTGAAATTTCTTTAACGTGAAAAGAAGACAACACTTGCTGTGGCCTTCAACTCGACATTAAGATAAATCGACGACGATTGTCAATTAAGAATGGTTATTTCCATTTTTATATCGACACGATATATCCCGGTGAGCTTGAGATAAAAGATACCACAGAGTCTGACACATATGTTTCATAATTGGATTTTTTATTAGAAAAAGACGTTAATAGTAATCTAACAACAAAGCTTTATGACAAACGTGATGACTTTAACTTTTTTGTCAATTTCCCTTACTTATGCAGCAATATACCCTTATCACCTGCATACGGGGTTTATATCTCTCAGTTGATTCAATACGCAAGAGCATGCTCTTCGTATGAACAATTTTTAAAACGAGGTAAGTTGACAAACAAGTTGATGAAACAAGAATATCAGCAGTCTCGTTTAAAGTCATCATTTCGTAAGTTCTATGGTCGATACAATGACCTTGTCAGCAAATAATCTTTCATTAAGTCAAATGCTGACTGACTTTTATCATACTAATTGTTAGGCCATTATTTACACACTTATTTGTCAACGGGTTTTTCTGTTATTTCAAGATCATGACAAGGAGCACACGGCGGGCGTGACCACTCCTCCATGGCATCTGATCCCACCTCTGATATCTTAGAGGTCCGTGTTTGCTCTGCTCCAATTTTGTAATGTTTAATGGACTTTTGAGCTTGAATACTGTTCGTTATCTCCTCATATTTCACGGTAGAAGGTGAAATCTTGATACCTTTGCTAAATATTTTATTGTAATCCTACATGTATTTACAGCAGCAAACGTGGTTAAGGACAATATAAAAGAAAGATGTGTCAATGACCTTACAAAAGTAGTGTTACTTTCATTTTTATTCCTTTCTAAATTTAATTTGAATTAAGCACTTTCTTTTAATTAGCAGAGAGTCAACTTATTTTTAAACTAAATGATGCTGTTGTATTGTTATAGAAAAACTATAGCTTAACATCATCTTTTACTATATCAAAAATACCTCTTTTAGCAGCAGCTTTAGCATATCTTTTATATGAATAAAGGAGGTAGCATAACAAAAAATCATTTGCATTCTTCGATATTTATTGAATATATTTCAACCTTAATTTTCAAGTAATTCCATTGTAATTGTAAGCCTAAATGTTAAATTATTATATTCAACGTAGCATATTGTTCATAAGCATTATTTTTCCAAATGGTCCGATTATACTGTTATCAATTCTAATATCAAATATGAAGATAACTATCATTAATCAAGCACAAAATTATTTATCATAATATTAGTCTTGTTAGATGTATTAACTTTTCAAAATATGTACATATCCTTTCTGATTAATTACCAGAGGTCAACCTGCTTATATAACTAACTTCACATTAATATAACTGGTGCTTCTTCCAAAATTATTGCACCTGGGTCAGGGGTTCAGGTGGATGGGGGTCTGAAAAATGCATTATTTCCTTGAAAATTTAATTCTCTTCTCCTGGGAATTTAGCAGCAAGGGAGCTTTTTTCAAAATTGTGAATTTCGTGGCCTCTTTGTCAGGAGATCTGGTGTAAAGGGGGGGGGGCTTTGTTGAGTCTATAATTAAATGCATTATTTATTTAAAAAATTTCTTCTCTGTTCCTGGGCATCTTGAAAACAATCAGTATATAAAGTTGTAATAAGCAAGCGTATTTTTATCAGATTTTTGAAATTCTGCACCACGTGGTCAATCTAATAATTTGTATTATACGGAAAGATGTTATTCTCCTTAATTATTCACCTATGATAATTAATCATTGTAAATGAAGCAATTGATGTCTGCTGAATAACATAATTATACAATAATTTTTATAATATCTAATAAAAAGTAGTTTCATATTTATTAATGGTCAAGTAGACTTTCAGACAATAGATAAATAAAAATGGGACAAAAGTAACATCTTTGTACATTAATTGTTCTTCGAAGACTAAGAGAGAACAATTTAGGAGGGAATGAGATTGGTTTATTAAAGAGCTCAAGAACTATTGTTTCATTAGCCCGCATGGGGATAGTAACAAATGGGGCAAGTACAGACATAAGCAGTAATTAGATCAACATTTAGTTTTGTGGCAGGGCATAAAATTAATTATTTTGCTGATCCCTGGTCATTCTATTTCTCTTGCTTTTTGGGCAACACAGCTTCATTTATCAGCTTATTTCATATTCGAACTATGGATCCTTTATTGTGTTACATTATACTCATGTGAACGTCAAGGCGCTAAGCCCTCTTCTTTAAAGTAACTAATCCCTTCTTAGAACACAATGTGTAGGAGTTTCCAAAATGCAGGATAGTACGTATTAGAAATCAAAAGAGTTTAACGTAAAACAAATTAACACTAAATGTGCATACCAGTATATATCTGAGCTGAATTATTCATTATTGTATACACGAATTTCAATGGTGCAAAGTCAGTGCTATAAAAAGAATAGTCTGTGTATTTTGTATCGTAAGTAGAATTCAATGTGAAGCATCCATGGCATAATATTGTGAAAGCAATGTAACTAATATCGGATAAAACGTCCGCCATCAATAACAATGTCCTGTCCAGTTATGTATGATGATTTGTCAGAGGCCAAGAATGAGACTGCATTGGCAACATCTTCCGGCTCACCATTCCGTCCAGAAGGATTTGCTTTTTCAGATGTTGCCATCACCTGAAACAGAATTAAATCTTAACATTCAGTTTTCAAATCTCTCTCTCCTTATCTCTCTCTCTCTTAGCGGGAAGGGTCTTAATTTTCGAGTTTTATCTTTATTTTATGTTATGTCTGGCAGCTTTGAACCAGTTGCAATAACGTGTTTTCATACATTCCCAAAATCTGATTAGAGATTTAGATCCTCAATAGGGTTAGAAAATTGTCCGATCACAGGGGATACCGTTTAGAGGTTTTTAAGTGAGAGTAAAATTTGGCATTTTGCTTGCTCAAAGGTATGCCAATAATTTATTTCAGTGGACACATGATTTTATTTCTGTAAAAGTACACAAGAGGAATACTGAATATTTTCTGCAAACAAAACAAGTGATAAGAATTGTAGCGTGACCCGTCAAAATAGATAAACGTCACAGATTTGGATTTTTATGCCCCCGCCATACAATGGCCGGAGGCATATAGTGTTACCCTGTTCCTTCATTCTGTAATTCCTTCAACCCGACATCATTGACTTTCCGTTCATTATCTTGGCAACATTTGCACACATTCACCTCAAATTTAACATATGGATACGACATACAGTACCAACCAAACCCAACCTGACACCTAAGCAGTCCCAGAAAGCAGTCCCCGGGACTGCTTTGGGACCGCTCTGGGACTGCTGTGGGACTGCTCTGGGACCGCTGTGTGACTGCTGTGGGACTGCTCTGGGACTGTTCTAGAAAGCAGACCCAGCAGTCCCAGCAGTCCCTGGGACTGCTTTGTTCACTCATGCATGAGTGACATGATAGCTCCGCCCCTTGTGTATTCTGAATTTGCAGGCTCCCTGTTGTTGTTTTGTTTACTTTCAGCAGCGAGGTGTTTAAGATATAGAATTTTTTAAAAAAAAATAAGGATTTCTTACAAAATTTTAATAAGTAGAGATAGATGTACATGTAATTATCAAATGTCTTCAGAGGCTGTAAATTTACACAACTGTAGACTAGAATTAATTTTAAAAAAATGAAAGTAGTTAAAAAGGGAAGTCAGGAGATGACTTTTATCCCTTAAATTAAACTTTAGTACATGTGTTTGAAAAAAAAAATATCTAGGCCTATTTAATTAATTAATGCTAATTAAAACTTTAATACAGGTTTTTGAAAAAATATGTAGGCCTATTTAATTAATTACTGCTGTCAGATTACGGTATGTACTCAAAAGTTTGCATTAGCGCTATTTAAAAAAAACAAACAAACTTGTCATTACAGTAAGATATTCAGAGGTCGTACTGTACTGGATTTTTTTTTTAAATTGAAAAAGCTAAAACCATGCTAAAAAAAAAAAAAAAAAAAAAAGAAAGAGCATTCCATGCTATTTTTTTTTTTACCGCCCTCAAATAAAACCTAAGAATTTATTAAATGACCATGAAATAAAATTATTCTACCATTCTTCAGTCATTTAAACAAAGTGGGGGATTTGGGGATTTATTTATGAATTTGTTTTTGATTTATAAACAAGTTATTAAAAGAGTAAATTTATTTAAAAAATAAACATTTTAAAATATTAGGAATTGTGACTTATTTCTTATTTGTTTTCTTTGTGTTTTCCTGGTCGATTAATAAAAAGCAATACAAATGTATAAAATGGTGTCAACACCTGAGGTTTTAATCGCCTTTGGGCATGATTAGCAGAAAGTCAATGAATGGTATCAGTGTTACACATCACTGAACATGCTGGTCAACAATGACACTAATTTCAATCTATGTTCTGCAAAAAATCTTCGTTTCAATAAATGTGTATAAGTTTATTTCGGGATTAATTAATTTTGAACATAATCTGAGGGTTCCATTCGCATGATTTACAGATGTACACTCGAACGTTTATATAATAAAAGTGTTATTGTTTTCTGTTACATAGAGAATCCAACAATAATTAAATTGGCAAGTCAGTGAAAATAATCATGACTGAAATATAATACTCGGCAAAATTTAACAAAGAACTTTTCAAAATCTCCAGCACTTAAGAAAAATGCATTCAGAGTATAGAATGGGAATCGACCCTGCTCTCTAATTATAAGATCTATTTAAAGCTAGTTCTGATAGAAAATAAATCACTGAAGTTTAATTTTCTATAAAAAATAAATAAATTAATATGGAAACCAATATCAATCACAGTAAATTAAGAAATTGATTTATTTTGGTGAAAAATTAATATATCACATAACTGTGTTTAAATATTCCTGTTATTAGTAGGTGTGAACGTCTTCTTTGTTCAATATTTATTATTTGTTTCTATAAGCATAGTGTGATTTTCTTAACAGTTCAGATATGACTGTCGATTGAGAATTGTAAATATTTGTTGATACTGCTCAGAAAGAAATGCATCATCAATTTCAACTGTCTTTTATAGTTACATTGTTTATTGGTAATCTCATTTCTGAGTAAGCTCCGCCCATTAACTTAATTAACCCCGCCCACTGGGACTGCTGGGACTGCTTTCTGGGACCGCTGGGACTGCTGGGACCGCTGTGGGACTGCTCTGGGACTGCCCTGGGATCGCTCTGGGACTGCTTTGTGTCAGGTTGGGTCTGGTTGGTACTGTAGGAATGCACAGGTCAAGTTCGAATTTGGTCATGGTCCGATGATTTTTGACAGGGTTATCCCTGTTAAACTTAGAAAAAAATAAAGAAATTTTCAGTTTCCGCTCTCTAACTTTTCTAGGGATGTATGTATAAGGTTGAAATTGCATGTGCAGATATTTTACCAGAAAATACAAGTTCGAATTTGGTTGTGGTCCGCTGATTTTTGACAGTTATCCTTCTTGAACTTAAAAAAATAAGAATTTTTTCAGTTTCCGCTAACTTTTGTAGGGATGTATGTATAAGATTGAAATTGCATATGCAGGTATTTTACCAGAAAATTCAGGCCAAGTTTAAATTTGGTCTTGGTTCGATGATTTTTGACAGAATTATTTCTATTGAACTTAGAAAAAATTTTAAAAACATTCAGTTTCTGCTCTCTTACTTTTGTAGGGATGTATGTATAAGGTTGGTATTGCATGTGCAGGTATTTTACCAGAAAATACAGGTCAAATTTGAATTTAGTCGTGGTTTGAAGATTTTTGACAGAGTTACCTCTCTTGAACTTAGAAAAAAATCTTTTGTGCAATCAAATTTAAAACTAAATATGGCATCTGAAATTTTGGCTGCCTGCAGGGGCATTCGTGGCGTTAGTTGGGGGGAAAATTCATTAATTACTAGAATCAATTTCTTTATAATCATTGATATTATGGATTTAAATATGATATATCTTAATTGTTATGATAATATTTTATATTATAATATATTATTCTTTCATGTCAATTGCATTAAATTGAATTTGGTTCGTTGAGACATCTTTGTTAAAAAACACTTTTACCCTATGAATGATAAAACCATGCCCACCAGCGCAGTAGAACTCAATAACAACAGCCAACAATGCTTGACAACAGGTGACATTCCAATACTGACTGCGGGGAATCTAAGCTCGCGCTCTTCACCTTTATTAGTCCCCTACCGGTTCATCTATCCGTCTGTCTATCTGTCCGTTTGTCTAGCTGTCCCTCTGTCTGTCTAGCTGCCGCACTTGGTTTTCCACACTTTTTTCTAAACGCTTGCAGATATTGAGCTGATTTTTTGTGTGTGAGTGGATATTGATGAGTTACTAATCAGCTTTTCATTTCGTTCCGCTTCAATGATTTTTTAACGGAATTACGACCTTTTAATTTTTCAGGGTTTTTCGCATTTTTTTTTTCTAAACGTTTGCAGATATTGAGCTGACTTTTTGTGTGTGAGTGGATATTGATGAGTAACTAATCAGCTTTTCATTTCGTTTCAGGGTTTTTCGCAATTTTTTTTTTCTAAACGCTTGCAGATATTGAGCTGATTTTTTGTGTGTGAGTGGATATTGATGAGTTACTAATCAGCTTTTCATTTCGTTCCGCGTCAATGATTTTTTAACGGAATTACGACCTTTTATTTTTTCAGGGTTTTTCGCAATTTTTTTCTCAACGTTTGCAGGTATTGAGCTGAATTTTGGTATGTGACTTTACCTTGATGAGTTTTAGATCAAGTTTGCATTTCGTTCTGCTTCATTAATGTTTGACGGAATTATGGCATTTTCAATTTTTAACGGAAACCAGATTACACTTGCCGGTAGGGGACTAGTATTACTAATGCAATACTCTCAGAATGCTTGTTAATATTTGTATGAAACTTTCCTATAATATGTAATGCATATAGTTGAGGGTAACATTGAAAATTTTCACCCAAGAAAACCACTGTCAACCTCTATCATATTGTAAATTTAGAATTTACTAGATGGAGGTAAATGCAAAATTTACAACATAATAAGTTTCTGTACGTTTGTTTTTAATTTGTTTTTTATTGTTTAACGTCCCTCTCGAGAATTTTTCACTCATATGGAGAGGCCACCACTGGCCGGTGGAGAGCTACAAATTTTGACCTATACTCGGCACTCAGGGCCATTGAGCAGTGAGGGATCTTTTTCGTGCCAGCACCTACTGCGACACGGGACCTCGGTTTATACGGTCTCATCCGAAGGACCGGTCTCCACGTCCCACAGTGGGATTCGAACCCGCGACGTAAGGATCAACTCCTTACTCCGCGACTCTAGAGCGAACGCTCTAACCACTGCGCCACGCGGGCGACTTCTGTACGTATATCCAATACTAAACATTCTAAAACCTCCTCTATTTCTGAAGACTTGTCTTCTCAAATGGCGTTGCACAGTGTTACTTTGACAACGATTTCTTGTCCAATTCTCTCGGCCAATCTCTTTCTTAGTTTCGCTTCTTTACAAACTTGAATAAACTGTTTCTGTCATTTTATATTTGTGACATTTATTTTTGTTGGAGTTATTTCATGCTCAGAACATTTTATAACAGCCCAGTGTTTTCCCTGTCAACACAGTGGCCATTTTTTTAAGTCAGATTTCAAAGCGAGTATATACAACGTAATTAGAGGAAATTGAAGTAGTTAACTATACCATTTTAAGATTTTTTAATATTTCTATTCCCGAATTTCTCAGTAGTAAATACTAAATTTGTAAGATTTGAAATAATATTTATCGCTTTTTAATTGCTATATTGGGGTATTGCGGTGCCTTACACCGGGCAATAGGTACATTTCATCTAAAGAGGTTTTTCTGCCTAATTCTTCTATACATGTCGGCAAATCTATTACATATTGTTAGTTTAATCTATTTCCAAACTTTCACTAATTTATGACACCGGGTTCCTACAAAAAAAGACCCGCTTCTCTACGGAAAGTTCGGACAACCCTCATGACTCACCTTATTCAGTAATTCTTCGTCTGGTATACTATATCTAGCGAGATTACTTCTTGTAATTCCTGGTCTAAAAATAAGAACTAAAGATTGTATTAAAATAAACATAAATGAATTCAAATAGAGCTGTATTATATAAATTATTTATACCTTACGCTATTTGCCCGAATTCCAAAGGGTGCTAATTCTGAAAAAGCATTTAAATATGTTATTCATTACACATCTACAGAACATACTAGTAGCTGAATACTATTTCACAGTGTTTTAATTAACTTTATGACGATGAGGGTTGTTTAGAGTTCAATGTTAATACCAATAGCTAAATTTCTGGTGAATGCATCCATTGCTGCTTTGGACATACTGTAAGAACAACATCCAGATACCTACCATGAAACATAAAATATAAAATGAACAAGAGACCCATGGGCCACATTGCTCACCTGAGCACTTTCGCTGGAGAAAAGCAGAAATTAGTTTTTTATTGAGAAGTTACCGGTAAAATATAAAAGTGGCCCCCAGGAATCGCAATTTGAAAGAACTTGAATCTACACTAACCGAGGATGCTTCCATACATGTATTTCTTTGACTAATCAAGGCTTTAGAAGATTTTTAAAGATTTAGTCTGATCTCCTGTTGTGACCCTACCCTAGCCCTGGGGATGTCATGATTTCAAATAAAACTTGAATTTACACATGTTGAGGATGCTTCCATATAAATAAGACTAATCTTGGCCTTGCTGAGAAGATTTTGAAGAAAAAAAATTCATTGATATTCCAATGTAAAAAGTTTATCCACCGTTATGACTCTGCCCTTCCCCCGGGGATCACGATTTGAACAAATTTGAATCTACACTACCTGAGGATACTTCTATATTAGTAAGACTTATTGTGACTTTGCTGTTCTTGGGAAGAAGTATTATTTGATCACCCATTGTGGCCCTATCCTAGCCCCGGGGGTCGTAATTTGGTCAAACGTGAATTTACACCACCCGAGGATGCTTCCATATATATTAATATTAAAGGACTTATTCGTATGATCTTACAAAGTCGTAATTGTATGAAAAATATTATCTACAACCTTGTTTATTAAAATACTGAGCATTATAAATGGTGTTGCAAGCATATTTTCAGCGATGTTAAGTTCGTTGGTTTGTTGTTTAACGTCCCTCTCGAGAATTTTTCACTCATATGGAGACGCCATCACTTGCCGGTGGAGAGCTTCAAATTTTGACCTACACTCGGCAATAAGGGTCATTGAGCAGTGAGGGATATTTTTCCTGCCAGCATCTACTGCGACAGGGGATCTCAGTTTATACGGTCTCAACCGAAGGACCGGTCTCCGTGACTCACAGTGGGATTCGAATCCGCTATGTAAGGATCAACTCCTTACTCCGCGACGCTAGAGAGATGTTAAGACTTGCGATATGCATATTTCAATCGGATTTCGGCGCCACACTACTAACGTCATATGCGACAATTCAGTGATAGAGAGAAAGGAATATGCACACTATTAACGGAGTTATCAACGACAAATGCAATATAAAAATACGAAAAATGCTGAAAAAATAATTATTTACGTGCTTTTCAATTACTATAGAAATTTGAAGTAGTTTTAATTTTTTTTATTATCATTGAATAAAAGATGAAAATATGAGTAAACATGAGTGTACATAGTGGCTTCATGTCGGTAAGAAAATAAAAAAAGTGATGCTTATGCACGAACAGAGTTGCAAAATTACTGCAGGTCTTCTTGAATTTTAATTGTAGTCTATCATTATAAGAGAAAAGGTAATTAATAAATATCACGGTTGATCACCTTCTCTTCTACGAATATTAAACATTCTAATTATCCCCCGGCGCCCTACTAAAATCAAATATAATTCAGTCTCTTATTTACAACTGATGCTAATTAAAATTAATGTTTTGTAATAGATAGGTTTTAATTTTTTTTTTATTTTACCAAATCTACAGCTATTTGAAAAATTAATCTGCTTTTTCTGTTGTTAGTTAAACATCTGGATATGTCTTTGTATTCGGTAATGTATTGAGATAAGAAAATTATTTTTCGAGATCGCCATTCTTTGCAAAATATGTGCAAATATATTGCAGAAATTGATATTTCATTATGAATGAACAAAATCAAAGATTCTACAATGTTGAATATGTGAATAATAAAGGTTTGATCCCAAATCACTTTGTTTTCTTTGTCTTCGCTGCGTACCCCTTGCTATCGTCGCTGTTATTTTACAGATTTTAAGGTTCTACAGATTTTCTACGGATGAATTTCAAACATATGAGGTTTGGTATCCAACCTCATATTGATAAAAAATCAATGATTTGGTCGTTTATAACGCAGAACACTTAGTTTATATGGCGTATATTTTAGTAAGATTAACGTAAGCAACTGATCAGGCTGAGCCATTGTCGCCTATTACGTATCACGGTCACGTGATCGCTATCTAATTAATTCGGATTTTTAATTCAGGGATTTTTATTTGAGTCAAATAATGTTTAATAAACGCTGTATATTCGCAATAAAAACACAAATCTGATAAACCGTGAACGTAAGGAACGTAATACGCATTTAATTTCAAGTAATGAAGAAACATGCGATAAGTCTTAAATTAATATGATATATTAAGACATTAACATGATCAATCATGGCTTTGCTGTTCATGAGAAATGATTTTTTTTAAGGATTTTTCAAATATATTCCCATGTAAAACACCAGTCGCCTATTTTAGCCTTATCCTACCCCTGGGGGTCATAAATTGAACAAAATTGAATCTACATCATTTAAAGATGCTTCCATATTTATACTTCATGGTTTTGCTTTTCTTAAGAAGAAGATTTTTAAAGATTTTTCTTATATATTCCTATGTAAAAATTTGAATGCCTATTGTGACCCCACCCTACCTGAAGGTGTAATGATCTGAACAAACTTAAGCCTACACCACCTTAGGATTCTTACATAAAAATATGATCAATCATGGCTATACTTTTCTAGAGAAGAAGATTTTTTAAGATATTCTCCCTATATATTCCTATGTAAAAAATTGATGGCCTATTGTTGCCCCACTCACCCCTCAGGGTCCATAATTTGAATAAACTAGAAACTACACCACCCGAGGATATTTTCGTATTCATGATCAATCAAGGGCTTGCTTCAATGGAGGAGATTTTCTTTTAAGATTTTCCCAATACATTTGCATGTAAAACTTTGATCGCCCATTGCAACTTCACCCTAGCCCTTGGGGCCATGATTTGATCTAACTTGCATTAACACTATATGTAATAAAGCTTTCACTTAAGTTTCATCTTTTCCATCTTAGTGGTTCATGAGAAGATTTTTAAAGAGTTTCCACATGTAAAACCATGCTCGCTCATAGTGGCCCCGCTCTAGCCGTGTGTCATGTTTTGAACAAACTATGAAATGAGCTTTCACCCAAGTTTCAACTTTTTCGGGCCAGTGGTTCTTGTGAAGAATTTTTTAAAAAAAAAAAAAAACGATTCCACCAAATTGTCACGAATTCTATATTATCTCCCCTTGAAAGAGGCCTTGCCTTGATTTGAAGAAACAAATCCCATTTACCCAAGGATGCTTTCTGCCTACTTTGGTTAACTTTGGCTAACTTTGGCCCAGTGGTTCCTGGGAAGTCAAAAATGTGAAAAGTTTGCAGACAACAGAGAGCACACGACAGACGATAGACGGACGCCGGACACCCCTCGATCAGAAAAGATCACGTGAACCTTCGGCCTAGGTGAGCTAAAAATTTTACATATATCAAGAAAATACTTGTTTGTATTAGATTATAATTTTTTTTTTTTCATTTTTAGGAAATAAAAATCATACATCCGGGAGGACAGTGGTTGAAAGTACACTTGAATTGTTGATGATGCAGCCTGAAAAAAAGACGTTTTGAAATAAAACTGAGAAAAAAAGTGATTCAAAATCACATACAATTCCATTAAAGAAAAGATCAATTTATCTATGGTGATTTATATTTTGATTAAATCATTATAGGTCAACAATTTTCAGTCATAAGAGTTCGAGATGATTGGTCTTGAGTTCGGACTGGGGGACTCCAGATATAGATGTGAAAGTACACCTTTCAATAAACTGTAAATAAACTGAGACTGGTAGAGACGTGCATATGGGTGAAACCAACAATAACTCTATCGTACTGATTTCGGCTTAAATCGAAAAGACTTTAGGAATTTTTGATCTTGGGAGACAGGTCTGATTGGCTTCATTTGTTCGATGTGTGCACAGCCCTTTCTTGATTTGGAATGCATGAAAAACTCCATCATGTTTTTGCTTGTAAAGAATTCTTAGGTAAATGCCCCCCGATCCAATTGTTCACTTTGTTGTGCCAACAACTAACAACAACAACTAAGATTCCTCGTCAAATACTCTCACACTTACCCTTCGTAGCCTTCAGATGTGGTATAGCCAGCTGGGTAAGGAAGTATGCCGACTTTATGTTGACGTTCATAATTTCATCAAAGTTTTCTTCTGTTTCCATTGATATATCCATGGACTTTGCCATTCCAGCATTATTTACCTTGTAATTAAAATAAATGCAGTTGTAGGCACGCTTATGAAGCTATCTTGGGACTAAGATATAGTTTAGGACGAACTTACGACACATCTTATTCTTTAGAGATGCTAACAAAGCAATCCTATCTAAGGAAACTTCTTAATCTTTGTTCCAAGTTTAAGACGACGACAAGCTTATTCTAAGACATACCTCATGTGATTCCAGAAGCGCTGGTCCCAACATAAAAATATGGAATTATGGAACTAGGGGGATTTACGAGGATGTACTCCCATGCATATACTTGTAATATAGGAACCCCCCCCCCTTCACCCTTCCCCTTTGCTCATTTATTAGTTAGAACCTGATACTTCCTTTGGTGATTTTATTTTAATCTCTTGCAACGGTCGGAGGAAGAAAATCATTTTTAAAGTTGTTTTCATCTTAATTGTATTGAAAGATTTAAGTTTAAGTTTATTAAACATTTGGCACCAACCTGTTACATGTGTCGGTAGTTTCCGACGTTTCTGATAATATCTTTGGGAATATCAATAGATAGGTTCATAAGCATGCCTACAGGAGCGTATGCAGGTTTACACTGTACCTCTCCTTCTCAGAGAGAGAGAGAGAAAGAGGGAGAGAGAGAGAGAGAGAGAGCTGTTGATCATCAGAGGACAAACGACAAGAAATGATTTTCTGAAATTTATCCAATTTCCTATTCTCCTCGGTCTCTATGGATGATGAATATTATTACATTTTCAACAGTGAAATACTGTGATTTATTTATTGAATAAAAGTGATATTCTCTCACAGTGTGAAAGGATACGAAAGTGATATTTTCTCACTGTGTGAAAGGATATCAAATTATATAAAAGATAATTCCTGGCCAGTAATCATATAGAGATAGTAAGTAAACTATCTTGATAAAGACTAAAACTGTCAATTCCTTCCAAAATATGTTGCTAAAATCCATGTTTCAATGTTTTCAATCTCACAACTACTAAGCAATGACGTCACAACTGCTCAACTATGATGTCAAAGCCTATGACCCAATGTTCAAAAAAGACAGAAGCAAAAGGAAAATCAAATAAAATATAATAACCAAAAAATTCAAAGTTTTGTGGTTGGATATAGAATTTATTTCACTTGTGAGACAGGATTTTATATATATATATATTTTCACTCGTGCTTCGCACTCGTGAAAATATAAAAAAATCCTGTACCACTCGTGAAATAAATTCCATATTCAACTACAAAATATTGAATATCCAAGCTTATGATAATGTTATAGGGTTGGTTTTTATTGTTTATTAAAAGAGAATACGTCGCAAAATGGTGCTGTTTAATTCTCTTTAAAACATTTTTTGAAAATTACTTATCCAGTAATAGTTTCGCATTTTGTTGTTTACTTCTGGCCAGATTGTAGGCATTTCAGTAATACTATAGCGTAATACATGTAATTGGATAAGAATGGGCTAAACTGCTAACAATGTAATGGAAATGGATGCAATAACGCAATATACTAGTAGATTAAATAAATGAACCATTTTTATGATTATAAGTATACATGTATGTGTTGAAAATGCAAATACGAACAACCTGTAATATTTGTTTGACAAAAAGAAAAAGAAGAAAACAAGAGACTTATTGGCCACACCACTCACCTGAGTCAATATGGCCTTGCTGTTCTTCAACCGCAGATTTGTTCTATTATTTATTCCTACGTAAAACTCTGATCACCCATGCTGGCCCCACCCTACCACCAGGGGTTACGATTTGAACAAATTTGAAACGACAATACCTAAGAATGCCTCCATATAAATATGACTAATCACGATTTTGCTGTTCTTGAGAAGAAGATTTTTGAAGATTGTTTCACAGATCATCCTATGAAAAACTTTATGTCCCCACCCTTCCCCAGGGGGTTATGACTGGAAAAATGTTGAGTCTTCACTACCTGAGAATGCTTTCATATGAATATGAATAATCAAGACTCTGTTGTTCTTGAGAAGATTTTTTTACTGTATATTCCTCTGTAAAAGTTTTATCCCCATGTGGCCCCATCCTACCCTGGAGATCATGACAGGAACAAACTTGAATCTGAGGATTTTTCCATATCAATATAACTTATCATGGCTTTGCTGTTCTTGAGAAGAGACTTTTAAAGATTTTTTCCCATATCTTAATTCCTTTGTAAATATTTGATCCCCCGTTGTTTCCCCTTCGAATTCCAAGGAGTCATGATCTGAACAAAGAACTTCGAACGATAGTATCGTTCTGCCGCCTACCTCTAAGTCAATTTTCAAAAGTTAACATATTTGAATGAATATTCATAATCATATAGATATTTATATGGATTTTCACAAAAAATAACTTATTTGGAAAAACAAAGAGAGATAACTATAATTTTGGTAAAACTTCCGAGATTTTCACCATGGAAAGCAATGAAAAACGAAAAATATTTTTACCCCCCCCCCCCCCGAGAAACAACAATTCCTTTTTACGAATTTTTAGAATTGTTATTTTACAATCTATACCAAAGCTTTTGTTGTTTCACGGGAGGAACATATGTTTAAAGACAAAAACGGCAAAAAAGCTCACTTTTTCATTAATTTCAAAGAGGTTTACAACTAAAACATTGTATTTTATCAATCATATTTGTTTAATTTAATATGTGTTATGAATAAGAAAAGATTTAAGGAATAATTATCCATATCGAAGAATATTTTAAAATTTTGTTATGCTTTAAAGCCCGATTTCAATGAAAAACATCCCCCTTCCCTTATAAAAAGAGTTGGAATTAAGAGTAATTAAATATTTAAATGCTATTTTTTTGCAACAAAAAAAATTATATATACATAACATGGATTTTTGAGAATAATCATGGGATTTCAAATATTCTTCATTTACTTGATGATTTCCTAACGATCGATCCGCCAGACTTTGAAGCAATGCGAACAATGTCCTTGATACACCATGTATTTGCTAGACATGGTATTCTTTTATCAATTAAGAAAACAATGGGACCGTGTACAGTACTTGAATACCTGGACATTACCCTTGATACCGAAAGGATGAAGGCCAGATTACCTGAAGAAAAACTAATCAGGATATCCGGATTAGTACAACAGTTCTCGAACAGGAGTCCTGCACAAAACGTGAACTTCTTAGTCTTCTTGGTCACCTAAAATTCGCCAGTCGGTTCTTCCAGGAAGATCTTTTTTGTCATATCTGATCAAACTTTCATCTATAGCTCGGGAATTACATCATCATGTCACTTTGAATTCAAAATGTAGACTTGACCTGCATATGTGGTCCAAATTCCTAAAAGGATGAAATGGTAGAAGATCTTTTTTCATGGACAATGCTACTACTGATGCTGCCGATCTACATCTGTTCACAGATGCCACAGATACCGCTTTCGGAGATTTTTTTCAATAATCAGTGTTTTCAAGGTTATTTCCCAGAAGAACTGATCTCGGAGGACAAATCTTTGTCAATGGCCTTATTTGAGCTCTACCCATTCGTTGTTGCATCCGTCTTTTGGGGGGCACAGTGGTCTGGTTTAAAAAGTGTTTTCAATTGTGACAATGAAGCTACAGTGCACGTTATTAATAAAGGTCGTTCGAAAATTCCCTTAATCCTGAAGTTCATTCGAAAACTAACTCTTTGTTCAGCAACAAACAATTTTATTATCTATGCTCGTCATAAAAGCGGAATTACAAACTTCATTGCTGATGCCTTTCGTTTCCGTCCTCTTGCCCCACAAGCAGACCCTCTGCCCAGAATATTCGAACCTCATCTTGATCTAAAGAAGCATGCTGAACATTAAGTTAATGCTTCCATTGAGCCTAGCACAGCAGCAACCTACAGAACTGCATTAGACTGGGTTTTTTTAAATTTCTTGTTATGTGTCGCATGTGTCTAGCTTTAGGCAAACTGCCTGTCATAAATGAAGATATACTTGTATATTTTGTTACACATTGTCAACTTAAGGCACGAAACGATCAAAACTTTCCTCGCAGGTATAGTTTTTTTCTACCTGAAAGAGGGCCAATGCCTTAAAGACTTCGAGAAACTTCACTGTGTTCTGCAAGGTGTTAAAAAGCAACAATGCAATAGCATATCAAAAAGATTACCGATCACTTTCTCAATTTTGTCCCCAATATGTGATTGTCTTGACAAAGGTGTTTTTTTCACCCTGGTTAGATCTCATGTTGTGTTGTATATGTAAAATGGCTTTCTTTGGCTTTCTGAGCTGTGGAGAATTTACAACAAATTTTCGTAAGCAGAAAGATTATTTAACCATACAAGATGTCACTTTTGCAGAGGATTGGTCTTTTTATACCTTGAAACTTAATTCCTCTAAAACAGATCCTTTTCGACAGGGGATTGATATAAAAGTGTTTGAAAATTCTCATTTAAAGCCAGTTAAAATTATGAAAATGTATCTGGAGGGTCGGTTAAATGCTTGCCACATACAAAGCCATGCTGCTCTATTTGTTGATGACGAAGGTAATCCAATGTCTAGAAACTTTTTCCTAATTCATGTAAAACAGGTCCTGTCCAGGTTAGGTTTTGATGAAACTAGGTACTCAAGCCATTCCTTCAGAATTGGAGCGGCAACTACAGCAGCCGCTGTTGGTATTCAAGATCATTTAATTCAGTCACTAGGTCGCTGGAATTCAGACTGTTATACAAGATATATTAGAATCAAGCAAAATACTTTTCAGTCTGCACAAAAAGAAAATTAATCTTAAATTTTTTTAATTTTTCTTCATTTATCTTCATGGGGACATTCACTCACATCAATACTTAATACCCACTAAAATATGATGTTCATTCATTTTGGCCTGTTTACCCCCAATTCAAATAAATTTTCTTGCATTATGTAATTAATTAAATATAGCTACCCGCTGGTGTCAACCTGGGTCCTTTCATGTTAACCTGATGGTGTCAAGCCAGGTATCTCAAAATTAAACCTGATGGTGTCAACCCAGTTTCCATTCATTAAAACCCGATGGTGTTAACCAGGGTACCCTTACTCACAACCTGATGGTGTCAACCCAAGTTTCTATGGTTACAGTGTAATAATTTCCTGATGGTGTCAACCCAGGAATTTGTTTTTACTATTTATGTGAGTAGCCCCCGAGAAGGGCAGAGATATGTTGCATAAAACAATATGGATGTATGATAGATTTGTTTTTTGTGTAAATTTTTAGCTTGTTGAGTGATTGTGAACATTGTAGTTTCATGTTTTGATTTGTTTTAATAAATGTTGACATTTCAATTGCTCTTACTATATGTATAAAATGATATTTTTAGTAAGAAAAAATTTTGTTTATACATAACTAATTAGTTTTCGTGTGTACATAACATTATCTCTATATATATATTGTTGGATATTGAATACTCATTCATTGTATAAAGCCATGTAGTAAGGATTACAATCTACTCTATGTAAAGTTGTGTAAATCTAATTAAATTCATAAAACAATCATTGTTTGACACTTGGATGAAGAGGCTATTTTTAGAAAAGATTATTTGTCTTAGGAACCAGTATTCTTTGACCATATTAGGTGATACATTGCGTAATGGGCAGCAAAATCTCTGGTGGTCAGTAGAGCCAAGTGATCTCAAAAACCAATCCGCATCAAATTCCACTTACAATTACCATTCCTTTGTTGTATCTTTATCTGGATGTACATGCTCTGTGTTTTTTGTTATCCCACCTACCTTCCCCATACTTCACCTTTCCATAATGCTAAAGAAAAAGTTTTTATTACAAATGCCATTGTTGGGGCTCTCACAATAATTTGTATTGTCGCCTTTTTACCCTGTTTACCCCCAATTCAAATAAATTTTCCTGCATAATGTAATTAATTAAATATAGCTACCCGCTGGTGTCAACCTGGGTCCTTTCATGTAAACCTGATGGTGTCAACCCAGGTATCTCAAAATTAAACCTGATGGTGTCAACCCAGTTTCCATTCATTAAAACCCGATGGTGTCAATCCGGGTACCTTTACTCACAACCTGATGGTGTCAACCCAAGTTTCTATAGTTACAGTGTAATAATTTCCTGATGGTGTCAACCCAGGAATTTGTTTTTACTTTATATGTGAGTAGCCCCCAAGAAAGCCAAAGATATGTTATATAAAACAAGATGGATATATGATAGATTTGTTTTTGTGTAAATTTTTTAGCTTGTTGAGTGATTGTGAACATTGTAGTTTCATGTTTTGATTTGTTTTAATAAATGTTGAAATTTTAATTGCTCTCACTATATGTATAAACACTGGTATTAAAATTATCAATTAATTACCACTGAACTCGTTTTTACATTTAACAAAGATTGTCTGGCCAAAATGTCATTTGTATTGAATTAAGTGTGTGTAAAATGTAGGCGGGAATCGAGAGTTAGCGTGTGTACTTCTTTGAATCTACATTACCCGAGGATGCCTCCACATTAATATGACTCATCATAGCTGTGTAGCCATAGCAACGTTCTTTAGACGAAGACTTGTAAAGATTTTTCCTTTTTAGTCCAATGAAAAAAACTTTTATCCCCCATTGTGGCCCCACCCTACCCCCAGAGGTAATGGTTTGAACAAAATTGAATCTACACTACCTGAGGATGCTTCCATATCATTATGACTTATTATGGCATTGCTGTTCTTGAGAAGAAGATCTTTGACTATTTTTCTCTATATATACCTACCGTTCACGGTAGCTCAGTCGGTAGAGCGCTCGCTCCGTGATCGGGAGGTCGTGAGTTCGAATCTCGGTCGCGACAGACCTAAGTCGATAAAAAATAGGTAGCAACTGTTCCTTCGCCATGCGCTTGGCACTTTGAAGTGAACGTTGCGGGTCTTTCGGATGAGACCTTAAAAACCGAGGCCCCGTGTCACGGCAGGCGTTGTCACGATAAAGATCCCTCACTGCTCAATGGCTTTGAGTGCCGAGTAAAGGTCAAAATTTGAAGCCCTTCACCGGTATATGGTGACGTCTCTATATGAGTGAAAAATTCTTGAATTGGACGTAAAACAATATACAATCAATCAATCTATATATACCTATGTAAAACTTCCCCCCGTTGTGACCCAACCCAACCTCTAGGGATCTACACTATATAAGGAAGGTTTCACATAAGTTTCACTTAAGTTTCAACTTTTTTGGGCCAGTGGTTCTTGAATGGAAAATTTTTAAAAAGATGCCACCAATTTCTTACTAATTTTATATTTACTTGACAGAGGGCGTGACCCTTCATTTGAAAAAAAAGAAATTGAATCCCTTCACCCACATATGATTTGGTTGAAATTGGTCAGGTGGTTTTGGAGAAGAAGTCGAAAATATGAAAGGTTTAGAGACGGACGGTGGACAAAATGTGATCAGAAAAGCTCACTTGCGCTTTCAGCTCAGGTGAGATAGAAAACGTTGATATATTCATAGGGGATTGTTAAATGTAAAATTAATAATCTAATCTACTTTAAATGCACTTAAAAAGCTGTTTTAATAAATATTTTGACACTTTCAGACAAAGAATACCATGTTTAAAAAATGCACCACATCTATGTACATCAACTCTACAAGGGAAACAAGCTGCTAACTTGGAAAAAATACCCCCATCCACTTCGGCACCTGTTTCTATACTCTGACCTCCTTGTCATAGTAGCATTCGCTACAGCGATAATTCGCATAAATGCTGATGTAGTTACGGTCATCGCACGCGTTTAATCAACAGAAAACGGGGAAATTTTCTTTGATTTGGGCGTTCATCTCTCCAAATTCGTATGTAAAGCAGATTCAATTTTTTATTAATTTATTTACATTTAATAAGCAGGAAGACAGGCCCCTATGGTTATGTTGTCATTTTAGAGGTAAGATGTCTTGAAAAAAGCGTCAGCTGGTGAATAGGAAACTGATTTTTAAAGATATCACAATTTAATTGAGTATATTTGAAATTACAATACCTCACAAACACTTATGTAAAAGATAATTACCAGAACATCAAGCTTTCCAAACTGTTTTATTGTTTGATCCACTAATGACCTTCTATAATCTCTGGATGTAATGTCACCCACGGACAACAGTATCTATGGAGAAAAAAGAATAGTTTTATTACTTCTTTAAAAAATGTAATTTAAGTTATAAATTTATTCAGTTAATGGCTTACTTTCTCCGGTGTTAAACCCTCCTTCAGACATTTTTCCTTTACAGCCTCTAACTTGTTCTCATTTCTTCCCGTCAATGACAAACTTGCTCCGCATTTTGCGAGAAGGACGGCAATGCCCTCCCCAATACCAGAGCTGGCACCTGTAGGGCATAATCATTGAATTTTCTCGCCATGTATGTCTGCTATTTTGACATATATTTTTAATAATTTCAGTTTGTCTTACCGGTGATTAGAAACACCTTTCCTTTGTGGTCGTCCATCCTAAAGTTTAACACCGGGACATCCACTGCTCTGGATAAAACGTGAATATATTAGTAGATTACTCAACCTAAATCAGCTAAAAAGTAATCGTAAGGATCAAATTGATTTAGTACAACAGATTATGTTTTTTTAACACACAAAATAAACAATTGATATTTTTAATTACATATTTTGCTGAGCTGCATGTCCAAGGTGTAGGTCATGACCTTCGTTTTCTTTATATTGCAAAAATATTTATCAACGTAGAGATATATTAAAAAACAAAAATACATTTTTCCTCAGGAACTTGAATTTTTAGTGTGTGTAGTCATACACGTATAAAAATACGCTGTTTGGTATAGATTTTTTCATGGCTTCAAATCGATAATAATAAAATCTCCTTGGTAATCTTGACTTAAAATTTAGGCACTGTTTTCCACATATTTATGAAAGAGGGCAATGTATTTCTTTGCAAAATGCTAACAGTCTTTGATATTACTGGGGGACGTTGAAATCGTTTAAGAAATATTTGCATAACACAACATCATGATATTTTTGTAAGATTATACAAATATATACACAGTCATGTATATATGTCTAATTGTTTTGTCGTTTTAATCAGTTTCCATTTATCTGCTCGATTTCATCGTCTCCTTGTCTCCCGTAGTATTCACCGGCCTAAAGGACAGACCGCATCTTCTCGGGCCTTTATGGCAAGCTCGGAAAAACACTTAAGCCGTTTTTCCGCTTTTGAAAAGGCCCGAGAGGTTGCGATCGTCAAATAACTTGTCACACCCCACAAAAATAGATATTTAAAGAAAAATTATTTTCTACAACCATGTGCATTAAAACCTGAATACATTAAAAGTTGTTCTAAGGATATTTTAAAATATATGGATTTCGGCGCCATACTTTTGTGACGTCATAGGCGAAAATACAGTGATAAAAAATTTCCTGCAAATTTACCCCCTTCTCCTTCGTTATGTAAGGTGATAGCAAAAAATCTAAGTTATAAATAATAATTCATTTTGGGCTTCAACTCATAGAACTTTGATTTTTTTTAAGCTGAAAATGACAATTTCAAGGTAGTAGACTCTAAAAACACGAGTTCAGAATATCTCTTACATGCTATTATTTCTGAATCCATGCACCAAGTTTCGAAAAAATCAACTCGGAAAAGAAAAACGATGAAGACAAAGATATTACCTTTTCTATCATTTATAATTAATTTCCTAAGATTTTCTTCATATCAGACTTACATTAACGTGTGATAAGTCTACTGGGCGTTAGAGTGAAGTTATCTGATAAGCATATCAGTTGGTCATTCTTAGATAAAATGGAGAAATCTCAGTACTAAATCTTAAGGTTTAATGTATTTGATGACAACATCAAACACGTTAGTGGAGATACGGGTAACAAATGGCCCCCTAATTGCATCAAAGCTTACATCTTGATTGACCTATTTTCGGTGTTATTTTTGCTTGATGGTCTTTAGTGGAGTATTTATATATGTCCAACACGTGGGCTTCTTTCTCATTTCATCTTTAAGGAGAGCTAATATTTTGAAAGAAAATATCAAAAAATTTAAAAATTCATTATTCCAAACAATTTTTTTTAGACTGAATGTGTACAACTTAATGAATGTATGACAAAAACATTTAAAGTATATTTAAATGTAAAATGTTAATTTTCACCATTTCTACTATAGTCCCTTTCGATAACCTAGTTACTTCCCTATATGCACTCTCTAGTATTGGAGGTTTTTATCTTCCGATAGGGTAAGTTGCTGCTGTAGCGTCAAACGTCAAGGATATGTATTCGTTAAAAATGGAATACTTTGATGGAATGAGGGAAAAAAACTGAGTGTCTTAAAAAGTGTGGAAACCAACTTTTGGAAACACACCCGAACTTATACGGAGAGCAAAGGGCGCAAAGGAATTATGGTTAGATCTAGATAACGACGTAGACTGCGGTGATTCGGAAGTTATAAAGGAAAAAATAATCGCTTGGTGAAAAAATTGACAGTACCGTCAAAGCTAACGGAAGGATGGGTCTCGAACTGCAATTAAAACATGATTGTGACGTGAACCTTTTGTTTGTATTGTCCATTCTATAGCTTAATGTTGAGTCAACTCCCAAAACAATCCTTTAAGTCACCTGTAAGTGTCCATTCTTTTTGGAAAACTGTCCATTCATTTTAAGAATGGACAGCTTTTTCAAAAAAAATGGACAGTGAAAACAAAAAGAATGGAGCGTAACAGGTAAACTTTGGAATGTACCCAAGAGGGAAACCAAAAAAAAAAAGCAAAACATACGATTTAATCTACATATAAATAACAAATAAAAACCGCTGAGATTTTAGTTAATCTAGAGCACGGTGTCTGCACGACATCCGCTCGATTTTACACATTTAAATCCATGAATAATACACATCATTTCAATACTCAAATCTCAAGTTTCACAATACTTGAATTTAAATGACACAATTTCACATCAATGCATTTTTAACTTGAAGTATGACTAATACGGGTATTAAATCCATCACCCAGAAAACAGCTTGCACCATTAAAACGACACTGCTGCAGCGAAAATTTCCATAGAAAATAATCAAAATTGAAACATTTCCAAATTTGATTTGAAATACACGTTGCAAAATTGTATAATATAATTATGATAATTATTCTTGATATACGTAAATTTGTAACATTTTCTAATGCACAATATTAGTATAACCACTTCCTTGTCAGGTGAAAATGTGTTCAATAAAGGTACGTTTCATGGCCGTAGGAACCGGGGGAGGGGGGCACAGGGGGCCAATTATTTTTTGCCGATGTATAGATTATTATAGAAAACATATCTACTTTATGCTTATGCCTCCTCAATAAAAACGTCTGTTAACCTTTTTTATTTAATGTCAATGAATTTTTGGTGGTTGAAGGCGCCCCCAACTGAAAATGTATGGCTATGCCCCCCACCCTCCTCCCCCAAAACTGAAATTGCTTCCTATAGGCCCGCGTGTGCATAAACATATTATTGTACATTTAATAAGAAATATTTGAGAATGAAGTACCAGGTGTCCAGATACTTTTTCACTGCATTTTGCATCATTTATAAGATTTAACATGCTACTAGTACTCTGTTTTATAATGATTATCATAAAAAAGATAATTTTTTTAAATTTAGAGAAGGGAGTGCTTGCAACCATATTGCAGCATTATTGTACGGAATTGTGGATATAACAGTAAAAATGCACACCGGTAAAATTGCTCCAACTTCAAAAGCTTGTGAATGGATTAAACCACGTAGCAGAAATATTTCACCAAAAAGGCACAGAACATGGATTTCAACAAATAAAAAAAAGACGGGGAGAAACAATCGAAGTTCATAAAATGTCAGCGAGAAATATCCAGACCTAACCTTAACATCTATTCAAGTTTTTAAAGAAAAACCGAATGGCTGGATGACTAAACAATTTCTCAACTATTGAAATATAACCCCCAGGTGCAAAAGCAATACCCGAACTTCACCAATTTTTTTTTTCTTCCATGAACAAGGTTGACCTCTCTTCAGAGGAATGTAAAAAACAATTTATGCAATATTTTGAGTCTCTTCAGGTTTCAGCAAAAGCGTGTGTGAAATTATTCATGAAATGACTGAAGGTCAACACATCAACCCAATCTGGAGAGAAGCCAGGCATGGGCGACATACTCAGACTTTGGTAAAATTGTACAGAGAAAACCAGAAACTACCTGATATAATGTACTAAAGTATATTCTTGGATACTGTATATCTTTTTCAAACAAAGCAGTTGAAAGGAGAAGAGAGCATGAAAAAGTTGACATTGCAATTGACTGCTACCTACTCAAGTTGAGGGAGATACATCCATCACGTACAAGGAGAAATGGCTATCGTGTTTCAAACAGTACCTCTTAATCTAGTACATTGTAATAATTTTTAATAAGCCCAAAGCTCATTGCAATGATACAAGTACATGTCGCATTTAAAAACTCTATTTTTAACAAAAAACATGAACTGGTAGTTTTCTGAATCTTTTTAAAGGTAGAATTTAAAAAAAGAAAATTTTTTGCAGTGCAAATAAATGAAGACGTTCTGACACATCATTGCTATGATCTTAACGCTTGATTTCTTTGTTGATCATGACATTTTTGGCTTTGTGTTTACGCATTGATCATCTACAATTATTGATAAAACAGTCATAACTCCGATTTATTCAAAATTTCGCCAAAAGACGTTTCATGAATATCTTAGCGAGAGGTGAAATATTATAAATCTTTATGCGCTACAACAGTGCAGTTTTTAATTTCAAAATTATGTCTCTGAAATGTAAAGGTAACATGCTCCGTGAAGCATGTTTTAACTGAATAATTTTGCTGTATATTTTTTAAAGATCATCGAAAAACACCAAATTTTTGCATATTAATTGGAAAATACGTATAGTTGTTAACTGCAGAGTTTTAATGATTTCATGCAAATAGCGCGCTCAAAATAGAACTTGTCTGCGATCTTTTCTTACAACCCTCGTACTGCGACTCCATAAATCTGAGACGCGTGTAATCACTCCACTAGGGCTTATTCCAATGAGGACTTTCCAAGTCATGTGTGACTTATAGTCTGAATACATCCTTTCTTGTTGGAAAGTGACTGAGGTGGTTCTGTGTAGATCTCGGTACAGTCAATAATTACACGACTGTCAGGCATGTTTTCTTTGATTACTTTCCGTCCTGGCCAATCTACTAAAAGTCTAGATGCTCATACATCAAATCTAACCATTCACTAAAATTTTTTACTGCAGCTAGGTTGACACAGATATTTGTCAATGCAATGATAACGATTAAAATCTAACCGACTTAATCGTAGAAAAAAATTCTGACAGTAAAAAAAAAATTCACTATCAACACGATAGCCATGGGTAAACAAAAGATACGATCACTACACATTTGTCTACTTTTGAGTCCCCGATTTCAATCGTGGAGCCAATCGTGATTGTGGAAATATAGCAATAAGGAGAGCTAATATTGTGTGTCTGTTTTTAAAGAAAATATTCCAAACGATTTCTTCTCAGAGTGACTGCGTACAACTTAAATTAAACAAGTATGACATGAATTTTTAAAGTATATTTAAATGTACAATGTTAATTTCGATCATTTCTACTATTGCTGTATTTAGCGCCCAATTTCCAGAGATTATCTGAGAGTGACCTCAAAAATTTATTCTGAGCATATGTTTCGTTATTATAGCAAGTAACGGAAAATCTCAAATACTCATGGATCCCTTTCGAAGTTGACACCACTTTCATAATGCAGACCTGTTTACCTATATTATATTGTCTCTCACTATTTTTTTATTAGATTTGTCAGTGAGATTTGGCATTTGCCAGTAAGATCTCTCTTTCCATCGATTAGAAATATATTACTAGAGAACAACTACATTTCTTATTACCAAAACATGGATTAATAACAAAGAAAAAAACGTCATACCTTGCTTTCTTTTTTTAAACCAACGCTTTTTTGCAACCCAACACCACTTAAGTGTTTGAAATCTTTCCTTTTTCAGCGATTAAAAAGCGTCAAACTGAGATAGATCATAACGAAAACTTACTGCTAAAATCGAAACAGACGGATTTCCGATTTCCGTATTTTCATACAGTCAGTGAAACATTCTACTTTCCCACTTGAACGGTGAGCGAATGCTGAACGAACGGTGATTGAACGTTGGGTGAACGCTGAACGCAACTTGGTGAACGGTTGGTGAACGGTGAGCGAACGCAGAACGCGAACAGAGCGCAAACGCGAGCGCAAAGTGAATAGTGAACGAACGGTGAACGCAAGATGAACGATACATTCGGAATGCCTCTGATCTTTTCCTCGCATTGAAACTATTCTACTGTATTCTAATGTCAGGTGCCAAAAAATAAATAAATAAATAAATAAATAAATAAATAAAAGATATGTTCCAAAATTGGCTTAAGAAAGACGATACATGCACATTAAGTAAGACTATTAATTTGAGTTTCTTATAATATTTTCTGCAAATATGAATGATGTTAAAACTTTTTTTAATCACACGATTTTTATCGCTGTAAAACATTGTAATTGTTACCGAACACTGAAGTATAAAAGATAACATTATTCTAGTTGTAAAGTAAATATGTTTATTGTTATCTGATATATAAAATCATAACAAATAATGTGGATTTTAGAAGGGAAAACTACTGACTTATGGAATGAATTACAACGGTTGTAACAACCATACATGTATTTCTATGCCAAGGCGATTCCTTGTAAAATAACGAGAAAAAAAAAATGAAATAGTTTACAAAGGTCCGTTGACGTATTGCATAAATACACTCACATTTTAAAATTTTAATGCAATAATATATTTATGTGTCATTTCTATTTTTTATGATGATTTATTGAGCAGACTTTTACATGTATCTGTAGACATTTCCCAGTGATAATACAAAGAGGCATTCATATTATTTGCTATAGATTAAATTTTCAGAACTTGATACATGTATAAAATTAATATGCTGTCATGATTTTATCAAATAGACAAATGAGAGAGAGAGAGAGAGAGATTCCGTTTAGCCCCATCCCTCTCCAAATGTTTGTACATGTATCAAACAAAAAATCTTTTTTTTTTTTTCTAAATATATCAGGTAGTGAAAGTAACCAACATCAGTTATCAACAAATCCATTTGTTCAACAGACATAATCGGTTTTAGATCTATTTTCCTGTTTCAAGTTCACACGAAGTCCACGTGCTTGTCCTGTCAATCAAAATCATTTGACACTTTGCAGGTGTGCAGGTTTGAAAGTCTCGTAACAACGAAGACGAAGTGCTAGTATTTCCAAGAAGTTTTAACAATTTTTTTCCATTTCTAGTTTTCTATATAAATAAATAAATAAATAAAATACATTGACCCATGGGAATAAACACTTGGAATGATTCAGCCGCGTGAATGTGAAACATACTCCCTGCAATTTTAAAATACCATCGTCGGCAAGAGTATATTTTGAAATACAATTGTGACTTTTTTGGATTCATGTATGTTTTGAGACTGAAATTTTTGTGCTACAAAAACGCATTAACTTCTTTTTAAATGTTATTTAAAACATACTTTAAATACTGACTAAGAAACGGATTAAGAGGAAAAAAAGGGGGGGGGGGTCTTGAACATATCGAATTTCAAACATATAAAAATACGGTGATCATGAAGGAAGGATTTTTTTTCTCTCTTACTATAGACTTTATATATATGTAAAGTTAAAAAAAATTCTGTAGTGTATTATATTTTTAAATATTTTTTTTAAAACCCAAGCTATCAATTTTATTCTCTCCAAGATATTTAATTAACTGGATATCCAAAGTACTATTTATAATTCTCAGAGCAAGTTCTAATATTTATTTCTACAGTAATTGAAAAAAAGTTATAGAAATAATTTTTTTTCATTATTTTGCTGCAGTTGGTAAATTAATTGACTTGGATCATCTCTCCCTTAACGACTTGTCGTCTCTGACAGAGCAACAAAATGTTGCAGTGCTTGAAGTATCTGTATATTGCCCATATCTTAATTTAATTTTTCAGCATCGTTCTACATAGGCACATACTTATAACAACAATTATTTTCCAGTGTAAATTAATAAATAACCTTAAAGCTAAGTTACAATAATAAAAAAAATATTGTAGATAATTTTTCCCATGAAATAATGATTCCTCAAACATGATATGCTAATCATTAAATTGCAAAAGCTGTAAATCCTTACTTACACTTTACAAAAATATAGGTCCTTTCACTTCGGAGTTCCAAATGACAGTGAAGACTGAACAATAAGTGAACGCTGAACGCAAGGTGAACGCAAAGTGAACGAACGAAGAGCGAACACTGAACGCTTTGTGAACGGTGAACGCCAGCGCACGGTGAACGCTGAATGCAAAACTGTGAACGGAGAGCGAACGGTGAACGCACGGTTAACGAACGTTGAACGAACGGTGAACGAACGGAAAAGTGGGAAAGTAGAACGTTTCAGGGATTGTATTAGCAAAACGTAAGACAAATTTTGGACTCAAAATCCGCACAAAATACGACGAAATCGTAAGAGTAAACAAGTCTGATAATGTTAGGTCCTCGAGGGCTGAGTTTGCCTCAGTATCAATATTCTAGATGAGCTCGAGAGGTCGTTTCAAAGCAGAAAGTTAAAAAAGAGATCAATTAATTGAACCTATTTAATGGTCAATGTATTTATGTATTTTGAGATAAGGTGCAAAATAAGTTAATGGCGCTGGTACTTTGGGACGGACAGATTAAATGCAACAGTATTGGCCGATCTCGGGGGTGGAAGGGGTGGAACCCTCGCTTTTTTTCGCTGAGTGGAGAGGAGGGGGATGGAAGGAGGAAAAATTTTTCCTGGAATAGACGTTTTGAATGTAAACGTCGTTCACAACAGCTTGATAGGTAACAGTCTCTGCTCATATTTCACTTGCTTTTTATTTACCTTTACTATTCATCCCTTACAGGTTTTTTTAATGTTAAATTCTTCACAATTTCTCTATGGTTTTTTTTTTTTTTTGGAAATATTGCAAATCCATTCAAAATTAAAGCTACAGCAGCTTTTGAAATGTGTCTGTTTTTTATTCGGACTGTAGGGTACCTTTTTCAAAGAAGGAATGTAAAACAAGGATTTTATTTACCACGGCCTAAGTTGACTTTTTTCTCCTGTATGTGTGAACTGACTGTGTGTTTCTGTGTTTCGAGGGAGGGAAGGGGGGGGGGCACCTGTTCTTTTCACATGAGTTGATGGTCTCTTATTGTGCTCCTTTATGAACCGAACTGTTCTTATTACCCTTTCAAGCAGAATTTCTTCAAATGCTTCTAAATCACAAGAAGAAAATACTTGCTGTGGTCTTCAACTCGATATCCAGATATATCGACGACTTTTTGTCTATTAACAAAAATCAATTCCATTCATATGTCGACTCGATATATCCGAATTCGAAATAAAAGACACCACAGCGTCTGCCACATCTGTTTTATATTTGGATGTTTTACTGACTATAGACGATATGGGCCAACTAACAACTAAATTGCATCACAAACGAGATGACACAACTTTTGCATCATCAACATTTTTTATGAAGTAATATTCCACTTTCACCTACATATAGAGTATATGTCTCCCAACTTATTCGATAACCAAGAGCATGCTCTGAGCACGATCAATGCAGGCTTAAACCGAGACAGGCTACTGACAGGTGATGTTACAGGGATTTCAATAACATCTATTAAGTGCTGTGGTCAGCACTTCGTAAATGCTATGGTCGTTTTAATGTCCTTATTTATAATTTTAACCTATCATTGGATTGTAATTGAGTGACATATTTCACACCAAATTTAAGGCCTTTTTATACTAAATTTGACTGTAGAATATTAATCTACCTGATCAATACACAGGGTTCACGGCGAGTGTGACCGGTCCTCGTCAAACACTTACTTCTCCTAGGAACGCTGAACCAATCTCTAGAATTTGTAGAATTTCTGGGGGTCTGTGTTTTATCCCCGGTTTACAGATTCGTATTGATACAACTTTGAATTGTTTCATTGGACTTTTGAGCATGACTACTGTTCATTATCTTCAAAATTCATGTTCTGTCTGATTTTTTTTTTCAGATTTGAACCATGACGAGTAAATCTATATGGGATGTGATGTCTGATTGTAACGTTATCTTATTAGGAATATCGAGACATAACGCATTAATACTGTTACTTCTATCTATACTTGTATGTTTTATTTTTAAATCTATGGTTATTTCAAACAATTAACAACAAAAATACAGTACTGGAATTGCCATAGTAAATTTTTGAAATGAAAAAAAAGACACAGAAAATAGATGGGACCGATTTTTACTGGAAATTATTTTGCAACACTAAATACTTATTCTTGAAAATTTCCTGCAAATTTACCCCCTTCTCCTTGTTTATGTAAGGTGATAGCAAAAAATATGAGTCATAAATAATAATTCATTTTGGGCTTCAACTCCTAGAATTGATAGAATTTGAATTTTTTTTTTTACTGAAAAATGCCAATTTCAAAGTATTAGACGCAAAAAACACGAGTTCAGAATATCTCTAACATGCTATTATTTCTTAATCCATGCACTGATTTTCGAGAAGATCAACTCGGAAAAGAGAAACGATGAAGACAAAGATATTACCTTTTCTATCATTTATTATTAATTTCCTAAGATTTTTTTCAGACTAACATTAACGTGTGATAAGTCTACTGGGCGTTAGAGTAAAGTTAACTGATAAGCATATCAGTTGATCATTCTTAGATAAAATGGAGAAGTTTCAGTACTAAACTTTAAGGTTTAATTTATTTGTTAACAGCATCAAACACGTTAGTGGAAATACAGGTAACAAATGGCCCCCTAGTTGCATCAAAGCTAACATCTTGATTGAGCTATTTTTGGTGTTATTTTTGCTTGATTGTCTTTAGTGGAGTATTTATATATATCCAACATGTGAGCTTCTTCCTCATTTCATCTTTAAGGAGAGCTAATATT